GTGTGTGTGTGTGTGTGTGTGTGTGTGTGTGTGTGTGTGTGTGTGTGTGTGTGTGTGTGTGTGTGTGTGTGTGTGTGTGTGTGCGCGCAATAAATAATAACAATAAATATAATATCTTATAAAAGAATTTGGAATAAAATAATAAAAATAAAATAATAAATTTATAATAAAATTTGGAATAAAGTAATAATAATAATAATAAAGTAATAAAGGAATAAAGTAAATAATAGTATTATATTTAATAATTAATGATTGAAATTTAGTAGAAATGGGAAATCTAGCTTAAAATTTATTTTACAAAACAAATACTTACAAATTTTAATCCTCTTAAGTTTAAATTAAATTTCCTAGTTTTTCCTTCTTTTTTTCATTATTTAACAAAATTTTTGACAAATTCCATACGAATTATGCATTAAAATTTATTTGCAAATAAGATATCAATACTGTTACAATTTTTATATTTTATTATAAATTATACATAATATAAAGAAAAATATTTTTTTCATTTTTTCACTTTTTTTATCAGCTTCTCATTGTATGCAAAACAGATATATAACCAACCGATGTTTTTATTAACTGAAAAATATAATTTTTAGCTGTAATATATTTAACAGTATAAATTTAATAAATAAGTAATTACAAAATTCTAGATTATACATATATAAAATAAACTAAAAGATTCAATTTCTTGTATTATTAAAATGTAAATATTATATATTTAAAGTCAACAATAAATTTAAACAATAAATTTCAAAGATATTAGTGATACTGGACAATGTTTCAATGATATTCATAATTAAAATTAAAATATCTTACACCGCAAAATGTTGTCATTGTAACAGGAAAGACTTTCCCAACCGTGAGATAAATTGGTTTAGAACCTCTTGTCATTAAAAATAATAAATCTTGTGTAAATTTTAGATCCATGATGTACCATTGATTACTATATGCTGCATGATAAATCTTATTGCACTTGAAATTATTGAAAATACTTTTAAATACAAATTATTGTATAAATTACATCATTGTTAACCAATAAATAATCATTGTCATATTTTTATAAGTCAGATAATGCATATGTAAGTTATAAATAATTTTTTTTTAAATAAAACAATTTTTATTTTTTTAAAAGGTACTAAGTGGATTTTATCTATATTATCTATAATTTTTATATTATTGTTATAATTTTTCTACACAGAACATATTGCAAAATAATTTATGTTATTGAAGATTAGCTTATATTAAATTTTTACGATATTAATTTAATAAAAATTAAATTAAATTTTTATTCTTTAGCATTGAATATTAATATTAACATTAAAATATAAATATTAATATTAAAATTTGCAATAAATTTAAAATGCATTATTAATTAAAAATTTTTTATCAGACAATATAATATTTTATATATTCAATTACGCACAACATTTAATTTACGTAATTTTTAGAAATTTATTTTATTTTTTTATAGAAAACAAATATATATGTAACTTACCTGGGCCACCAACATTTCGCCGAGAACGCAATATAAACACATGTGTACAAATATATTGAAAACAGTGGATGCAAAATATATTATATGAACGAGCGATGTATCACTTTCTTCGTCGAACAGCTAATTAATTTTAATAAAATAAAAAAGATGGTTAAATATTTTTATTATTAATACTATTATTAATGCTAATTAAAAATTTTATTATAATAAATCTTATAAATGTAATAATTTTTTAATTAATATACATAAACGTTATTAGAATATTTATTAAGACTTGATTCTTTTACCGCAGCCATATTGGTGTCATAGACGAGAAATGACATGCAATTTCTCGTTTATGCTGTCATAAAACCAATATAACCTGAAAAACCAAGTCTTAATTTTCCAAATTTACGCAAATAAGTCCTTGTCTAAGCTTTTAAATACTTACGCTAATCATTCGAAATCCATAGAAAGCAAACAGAATTGCAAAATATATAAATAAGGAGAGAAGTATCATATTGTATGTATCTTCAATAATATCAATAGCTCTATAAAAAATATTCTGTACATTAAATATATTTGATAGACTACAGTATTTTATATGCATTATATTTATGTATATTTTTTTTATGTATAACAAACCTAAGTAAACGGATATGCTTTGTTACAAGATATTTTAACATATTATGATAATTCATATATTTATCCAAACGTATTAAACGATTCTTAAGAATATCTAATTGACCGCACATGTGAAAAATCAGGAGACTGAGAAAATTATCTATTGAAGTGTAGGACATCATGGCAATAGATACATAGATAGCTTGACTAATAAATGTTAGTTCATATTGCGGTCTCTTTGTTATATCATAAATATAATAGGTCTGTAAAGGCATTGGTTTTCCTGGATCAGTAATGTTGGGAGTGAGTCTCATTGACATTCCAAAAGCAGGTAATACAACGACAAAGAAACATGCTGTTCCCATTATACAATATGAACAAATAATGATTATGCGTGCACTCTGCGCTCGTCGAATCATCAAGCTTCTTTCATGAGCGCTCTTTGACTTCATCCAATCTTTTGCGATCATATTCATAACTGGTATAATAGCTTGAAAAGTAAGTAATTTAATCACACAGTTTACAATCAAGTACAACAAATTTAAAATGCTAAATTAAAATATTAAGTTCAATAAACAATAAAAAATGTAAAATATAATTTCTAAAATAAATATATCAAATTAATGTAATTTAATGTATTTGTACTTTTTGTATTTTTTAATATTTTAATATTCTATAACATTCTTATATAAAATAATCAGCAAAATATCAGATTTATAGAAAACATTTTTATTTTAAAAGATGTTATGTATATATATATTATATTCATGTGTATGGATAAGTGTAAGTGTATTTACAATTTAATATATATAATTTTTAGATGTAAAAACATTTGAGTTGTTAAAAATATACAACTTATAAATTATTTAAGAGTACATTAAAATAGCCTACTATTTACATATAAATTATTATTATTATATATATATATTTTTTCTTTTTAATTTATTCTACTTAAATAAAAACAAATTCTACATTCATTTGAAATACTAAGAATTAGTCTTAATTAAGATATTGAATTTATATAATTATTATTTTTCACAGTTATATAGTTTATAATTACAATTAAAAATTATGTCTACCTGTCTTCTTCCACCAAAGAATCATGATTCTAATCGTGCAGCTTATAGTTGGTAAAGTAAATTGTAAGTTATCTAACATTAACAAAACATCTCCAAAAATTCTTGTCAAGGAATGTAAAGAAGGAATGAGAAGGCCGAATATTAGTCCCAACAAAACTGTCAATACTCGAAAATTGCACATTAATTTCTGTCGAGAATTTTGTGCAGTTTTAGGCCAAAGACCAAGGAAATCTAAAGTGAAACGATTTAATTTCACCGCCCATTCGAAATCTACCTGAAAAAATTTTAATAAATCTATGACTTGTTAAAAGAATTTATTAGATAGATTCAATCCTCGCGCTTCCAGTTATTATTAAAGGGAGTGCTATTTTTGTTTTTCCGCCATTTCTACTTCTATCTTATAATATATACTTACTTTTTGTCTATCTATATAAAATATATCTTTCTTGTTCTCTATATTTTTTTTTGTTAAAAAGAAACTGTATGATGTAACTTTTGAGACCGCATTAAAGTTTATTAAATGGTTTATATCAATTGCATAGTATTTTACCTTTGCCCTAACTATATAACTAGAACTATATAAATATACATAAAATATACATAAAATCACTACAATTAGCTTAAATAAGTGAAATATTACTTAATGTTATATATCTAAACTCACTAAATAGCTAGAAATAGAATAGTGATAAAATCAAAAATATTTTTAGCATTTTGTTTTTTGTTAATTATGTAACCTTTTTTAACAATTATACAAAATAATACATAATTAATATGAAATTAATATGAATTTCTTAATTAATATGAATTATTAATCTCAAATTATTATAGAATAATGTAAATAATAAAAATAATGTCTCATTTTGTCAAAATAATTTAATATGTTAATAAAAAAACAGTATGTTATGAGACAATAATCAATAAATAATAAAAATTTTTGTCAATTGTAAGAAAATTGTACTGATTATTATTATTTATATTGTTTATTTATGTATATTATTATTTATTATTATTTATTTATATTATTATTTATGTTATACACATTATATATAAAATCACATTATATATAATATATTTCTTCTTTAAAAGTCTTTTCTTATTTTTTTCTTTTTATAGTTATAATGACTTTCTATTTATAGTTATAATGATCAAGAATGCAATTCACTTGATGCTACAAATGCTTCAAAGTGTTTGAACCAAACCAAAACAAAAAATAGAACAAAGAATTTATGAATTAACCAATCAAAAAATGTTTCAAAGCATTTTTAGTTCCAAGTGGATTGCATTTTAAAACCATAAGCACCTCGATATCCGTCATATTTCGAACTTTCCATGTCCAAAGTTATCTAAAGACTGATATCTATATCTTTTTTATGTACATTTTATGTTACCTCCTATGTAACAAAAAGAATTTCTCGTGCATTTTATTACTTTTCGAAAATGTCGCAATTAACTTGCAAGAAATGTTTTAAATATTCTATGTTGACTATCGCTTCAAATTTTTACAAGTTTCTAATGTCATTTATCATATGGAACATTTACGAATAAAAATTGTATAACATCAGAAAAGATCATTGGT